GCAGGACAACTGCTGATGGGCCAAATCAAATGGCTCGGGGGGCCAATTTTGGCCCGCAGGCCCCACTTTGGGCATCTCTGCACTAACGAGTTTCTAATGAGGAGCTGCCATCTTGAATTCTGAACTCTGGATGATCAACATGCATTATGGGAGATGTAGTTTATGGTCGATTTTAAAGCAGCTTATTTTCACACATTAATACTGAGCTATCCAACTAAATTACTCAGTTACCTAAAGTGTCTGTGACATGCTTATCCTTCAAATACAAAAAGTCAAACAAAATACATTCATATTTAGGAAAATTGGCCTAAAACACATGATTTAACCCATTTTGTCTCATAATTGGCATATTTTCCTTTGAATTTGGCTCAGTTAAAGTGAAACAGGAAGTGACATCAAAGGGGAACTCTTTAAAAAAGAAAACTCTCTGGTCTTTGTTTATTAAAACATTATTAATTGACTCGTCTTCATCTCTTTTATAGAGACTAAACTTAAAGAAACATCAGAAAATTCCCTGCTGTCTGTGTTGTTAGCCATTGTAACAACGCTCTGTTTACATGCAGACATTCCCCTTTGACATCACTTCCTGTTACTTCACATGCAAACATTTTTAACAAATGTTCATCTCAGTGGTGTGAAATTTCTTTTGCAATAAGTTATCCATGTTATCTTTCCAAAATTGCAATCATATTTATCACAAAAATTTGATGTCGAGGGCACTTTAAAGCTAACAGCTCAGGGGCAGGACAATTATTAATTTTCACCTTTTTAATTTGTTTATTTTGTTGCATTTAATCAGAAATTTAAAGTTTACCATCAATATAAGAAACAATTTTCATATTAAGTAAAAAGAAAAAGAAAATTGCGGGTGGGGTACCCCCCGGCGGGCCAGATGGTAGTCACCCACGGGCCTTAACTTTGACATGTGACCTAGTTTAATACCCCAGCATGATGCTCCCACCTCCATGCCTGACAGTTGGTTCAGTCTCCTCAGGTCTTTGACTCCTTCAAACGTCCTGTCTGTCTCCGTCTTCATCTCTTATAACTTGTCTCCAGAACATATATTTAATTCCAGGGGTTCAACGTGCGCTCCACAGCTTAATATTCCTGGAACACAGTTTGACACAAGAACAAATGAACACGTCTTGTTTTTTAAAAGGGCCAATATTATGTGTTTCTCAGGCGTATATTTAAAYACTATACCATAATAAAGTATCTATGTCACCTTAAGTTGTTATTAAAATGCTGTTTTTATGTTTAAATAGAAAATAAACTTATCTTCTCATCACTTCCTCTTCAAAACGCCTTGAAATTGTCCTCTGTCTCTTTAAGAACCACCTTCTGCTTCTGTCCCGTCCATTTCGGTGAGGGGGGGTTCGCGCATGCTATGATGCAGTTTACTTGGCATCTGAAAATACATTTCCTCAAAGGTATTTAGAATCTGAAAAGAGCTTCACTGAGTGAGAACTGAGCTCAGCAGACAGTTTCAGTTTCACTTTCAGTTTCACCCATTGTTTGCTTTTTTACTGCCGAGAGCCTGCAGGAGTGATGGGAGGGGTGTGTGGAGGGGGGGGTGCACTCTGCCATGAGGAAGTTCAGCTTAAAGACACGTCCCAGAGGTGTTTCTGG